CTGCTCCCTGGGCAGAGCTCCTCCAGCACAAACTTGCAGACACAGCAGGGTCTGCTGGCTTCCCCGTGGCCCGCTCCCTTTCACCTCTCACCACTTGCTGCTTAAGCAGGGATCCCTTCCTCCCCCCTCCCATAGCACAGACCATAGCCAGCATGTGGTATGCTAGCTAGTGCTGTATAAGGCTCCAACAGAGACTGCAGACACAGCAGGGTCTGCTGGGTTTTCCCTGCCCTACCCCCCCCTCACTGCTCAAGCAGGAAATCCCCCCCACTCCCTCCCTCCCATCTCCCACAGCACAGAACCCGCCCCACAGACCCTAGGCATGTGGTGTGCTAGCTAATGCCGAGAGGTGTCTGTCTGTGTGTGTGTGTGTGTGTGTGTGTGTGTGTCCAATTTCATTGGGACAGGCAGGCAGACAGAACAGGGCTTTTGGAGCTAATCAACAGGTCACCCCAGTAACTGTTTAATAAGAGCTTGAAGTAATGGGAGAGAGGCTATTGCTTTTCTAATCAGGTGATAAAGACTCTTATCAGCTCTGGGCTACCTTGCTCACATGTCAGTTTGCTGCAGACAGTCTGAAAAGCAGGGCGGGAGATTGAAAAGCTCAGTGTTATCAACAGACACATGCACTGTACACACTCTCTTGCCTCAGAGTGCTAGCAAGGGTCTGGGGGCTGACAATTCTCTCAGCCCTTGAGCAGCCAGCAGGGAAAAGCCTGGGATGGTGCAGGCAGACCTCCCTAATCAGAGGTCTTGCCAGGGCCTAGCCATGCCCCCCCTCAGTTCAACTCTGTGCAAGGGAAGGGAGTGCTGCTGTAGCACCCCCTGGCTTTTAGTCTGAGCCACTGCAGGCATGTGCCTGAATTTCCTCGGTCCAGAGGGATTGTATGCTTGGAAACTGGTCCAGCCTAGCCAGGTTAGACTAACCTGCAAAGGTTGAATCAATTCAGGCTCAGGCTTTTTGGATGTCTGTCCCTAGCCATAGATATTCCTTTCCTCCTTTTTTGTGTTATTACTTTCTTAATCTAAAATAATGATAATTCAGACTGAAACTATCCATTGGCTCCTTCTGGATAGAGGATAATAATGATCCTACCTAGCACTTGTCCATCAGGAGATCTTAATGCACTTGACAAAGGAGGTCAGTGTTGTCATTCCCCATTTTATAGCTGGGGGAACTGTGACACAGAAAGGATGAGACTTGTTTAGCTCCTATACCAGGTTAGCAGCAAAGACTGAAATATATTCTAGGTTCCATGAGTCCCAGAATGGTAATTTATCCATTAGGTTTAACTGCCATGTCAACCTAGACATCTGTTGTTATGAGCTTCTGAATTATACAGTTAAGTATTTCAATCACCACCATCACTATCTCACCACCCAAATATATTTCAGCAGCCAAGGGTTAGTTTGAGCCCCCAAATGGGATCTGCATTGAAATGTAACCCCCTGGCCTACAGAAAATTGCTTAGGAATAAGATTGCAGGTTTTGCACATAATGGTATGGATCATCAGTTCAAAGAGACTCAGAGATGTCAGCAAAAATTGCCTTTGTTAGCCTCCTGAAGTCGAGTGTTCTTCTTGCTCTTTCTACATATATCAACTGTGTCATGCAACAAAGTCTTCATACGGGTGTTATTTTTATTTTTTTTAAATTTCTTCTTTATATGTTGAATTGCAGCCTTCTCAGATGTTTGTGCTTTGCTCTAGATGTTTCACAATTCTGCACTGTCTGGATTTGTAACTCCTTGTGTAAGCAGTTAAGAAAATAGGCCTGGCTCATGGAGCAATAGAAAAGAATTTGAGGTTGGTATAGAATAAGTAAGTCTCTCTTTCAAGGAGGGGCACTTCTTGAGAAACCAGCCTAGAGAGTTGCTGAATGCCAGCGTCATTTTCTCTGTGTACTGAGTCTTAGTTGAAATTTGTTCCTGTACGATGACCCAAATGTTGTATAAGATGACAGACTCATGTTAATCAACTATTTAATGGCTCACTAGACAATAAACCAGTGCTGCTCCTCCCTCAACCCCTGCAGAGTTATTTGTACAGTGTTCTCTACGCACAATACTTTTGGCTTTTGCGGTTCTGCAGTTTGTGTATATGAAGATACGCTTGGAGATCCTAGTTTTGCTTGGATCATTAGGTACAACATGACAGAGAATTAAAAGACAACACTAGAAATTCTTTAAGGAAAGAGTTCTCTTTTGGTGACACTTTCTTCACTGTTCCTCTTTTGTTCTAACTGAAGGTCCTTATTAAAGCTAGACAAAAGGACAGAAAAAAGAAGGATGGGAAAAGATGAATCAGTGAAGGAAAAGCAGAATTCATGTACTTAAAATAAAACCCTGAACTCCAAATGTTATGGGTCAGATTCTGAATTCTCCACCAAAATGTTTTGGTGGCAGAACACAAGTTTGAGTCCATCCACACCCATTGCTCTTTTGTGGTGGTAGAATTTTTGCTGGTGGAATTATTCTATTTCTACTGAGTGATGTAAGGCTCCTGTTACCATCCAGGCCTCATCTCACAGTTGGATGAGGGCTTTAATAGACATTCCCATGTCATTTGCTGACTACTGCAGTCCCTTCAGTAGCTAGTTCCTTCTCAGGATGCATGTTGTGCTCTGGTAATGCAGCTGTGGAGGACAGCTGTGTGAAGCCATGAGAAGTGCTTGGGCATGCATGCCTTGTAGCAGCTTGGTGGTGGTGGTTACTGTCTGCTATCAGAACTTTTAACATGGACTAGGTTGAACTGGAACAAGGCAGTTATTCCAGAATAAGTGTCCATTGAGTTACTTAGGAATAGCTATTTCAGTATAAATTCACAATATCTTAATCGGAATTTATTTCAAGTATAAATGAGCCCTTTGATTACAGATGTGATTACTCAGCAAAAATACTTGTAAGATTTCAGTGCGTAAAAACTGCAAAATTGCCTTGATGGTACTTACAGCACCTTTGATTTGTTTTCCAACATGTATGAGTAGACTGACTTCCCTATGAAAGAGAGAATATTGTAACGTTTTGAGAAAATGTATTTGCACCAATATTTGCATCAAATTATTTGATCAGGTCGTTTTGAAAGCTCATTGTTGACCTGGGAGTCATCAAATTGGGGAGAAGAAAAAACACCATGGAATTTACAGAATTCATTCTAAAGTACAATCATTGAGTTACTCAATGTAGTAGTTTATAAAAATGATCCCTAGTTAGTGCAGACTGTGACTTAATGTTTGACAAGCATACCACTAAACAAAAACATGCCTACAAATAATTTTTACACAGGAAGAAGAATAAGATTGGTCATATAGTCCAGTCTTTTTTTCCATTTATGGACAGGTGTCAGTAACACAATATTTCTCCCCACAATGTGCTTTAACTCCAATCTGTTGGTCAGTAGGAGAATAGGGTCTCCTATGTAATTTGCGCCATAGTTCAAGTTACTGATGAACTTGTCCTTGACATTTCCATGGGAATTGTACCTGCTTATGTAAGAGATAAATGTGGCACCTTATCCTTTGCTTAATCCAAATGAAATTGTTTAAACTTTAGTGACTATGGAAATAGTGTTTGGCTCTGCACACACTTTTTCTGGGCAGCTACTCAAACCTTGGTAAGCAAAATCGTTTTGTTTAATCTTCCACTGCAAATACATTACATAAATGGACTGATAATGTGAATGTCGTGAGACAGCTTTTTTCCATTGGAATCAGATTTGAAGAGCGTAGAAAAACAGGCAATGCAGAAGCCAAAACACTGCTGGAATAAGCAAGTGCAGCCTCACTGGATTAGCAGAAGCTTCACCTCACTTTCACAAACAGAAATTTTGGTGCTTATTATGTAAAATAAGTCATTGAAGTCTGAAAATCTAAGCCACTTAGATTTACTAGGCCCAACACAGGGAAAATGTAAAGTTTTTGCTTGATTTTTTTTTGTCTTGATATTTTGATTTACAACCTGAAATCTAACTCAGACCTATCCAAAGGACAGGCCAACAGGAAACCCCTGCTATGCAAACATGCTGAGTTTTGTTTTCTTCTACATTTCCTTATACCCATAAACAAAGGCCTGACCAAAATAAAGCTGACTACTTATAACATGTGAGGTTCAAAATTATCCTTATTTCTGAACTTTATCTTTTGACTGTCTGTAGTTGCTGCCCGTGTCTATAATTTTGTAAAAGGAAGGACTTGAAGGAAGTGGGCTAATGGTAACCTGGCAGTACATTCCTACAAACATTCTTTTCTAAACTTTAGTACTGACAATTGGTTTACAATTACAGTGTATACAGTGTCTGTGTGTTTAATATTGGATGACAATGACAGAATGTTATTTTTGGAATTAATAATCCTTAATATCGTCAAAGGAATTATAGAGGAAGATTAAATGACAACAACACAGATTGGACAGTTAATAAACAAACAAATAATTTGGCATTTGTCCTTAATTGGAACAAATCAGGATAGCTCCACAATACAGCTTTGCAGAGTTGCATCAAATGAGGACCCAGCTCCAGATTTTTAAATATGATTATTGAAGAAAAAGAAAATAGTTTACATGATTAAAGAAAAAGAAAACAGTTTGTCTCTCTTTTCATTCAGTTATACTAGACTTCTGAAAATTCATAGCTGAAGTTTTTGAGCTACTTAATTATGATACTGATGTAAGCAATCCTGTTTTTAGGTCTGATCCACAAAAGTAAGTTTGGTTTCTCTTCCCAAAACACATTTTTTTTTTGTATAAGCTACTTTACATCTACATACAACTCCTCTTTATAACCCACTTTGGTAGTGACAACTCTACTTTGCAGATTTTATATACTGTACTACTATAAGGTTGATGTAGATGCATCCTTGTTTTGCATAAACTAAACTGCTATCCCACAGTGCTGTGCTTTGTATTGGTCTGGTTGCTTGTGTTCTCTCTGAGGTTGTCTTGACCAACATGTTACCGAGGTTTAAACTCTGGAACACCTCTAAACGCATTGGTTTGCACCTTCAGGTTGTGCTGTGTTTATAGATGCCAAGTCCATTGCAAGCCCCATGCCTGAGTATGTTCGCATCAAAAGATATTGGACTCTGGGGACAAGAACATATTCAGTCTCCTCCTTCCAGCAGTTATGCGAGTGCCAATATCTACAGCAGTCAGCAGAGCCAATGCAGGTGAGAGACCTGAACCGTAGCATGGAAAAATGTGGCCCACACAGCTGCCTCACCCTTCCCTTCCACCCCACTATATTGAGTGCAGACCCAGGAACAGAGCAGAGAGCCAGGCCATGTTATGGAGCACAAGATGTTCTGGGAATTGTGGGTCTCTAGACTGGCAGTGTAGCTTGCTGCTCCCAGGGGAAACTTTCACCCATTTTTGGCAGCTGAAGGGCATGTCTGGAGGGGGGAAAAAAAGCTGAATTTGGCACCAAAAAATGGGAGTCACATTGGTTCAGCGAACTCCACTGCTGCTCTGCAAAACTATAATTCTCAGAATGTCTTGCACTCTGGCATCCCTTGCCTGGTCCAGCTGCTTCCTGGACCCACAAAGTGCTGGCAGAGTGAGCAAGGCAGTAGGTATCAGTGAGGTAGGCTGCAGCAAGTAGCATGCTCTCCCGCTCCCATTCCTTACGTGGTGCCCAGATCACGTGCCCTGTTTGCTTACTCCATGTTACACTACTGTAAAATCCTACGATTTTTGTTGGTGCTGATTCAACGCCAGGAGCTGCAGTAGAAGCATACAAATGCAAAATCAAGGGGCAGGGGAATGCTTCCAGTGACATTCAGACTGGCTCTTGAGTTACAAGTGGCTTTTCAACTTATCAGCAGCAGTTCACTGGGGGAAATGTTATCTAAGTGCTGCCTGACAGAGTTCATATACAGTTCTTAGTCTGTACCTTGGGAAGTCCCACTTCTGACCTCCGCTCTCCAAAATAAATGCATAAGGAGTCATATCACTTGGAACTGCTTAACATTTTCAGACTGAGAAGGGGATAAGGGAGGGAGAAATAACATCTGGTCACTGCTTCTAATGCCGGGCAGAAGCTTGAGGACATTCCTATGCTATGCCTTGATTTAACATACAAATCACAGAGGAAATAGTTTCAGTCACTGTAAACAAAGCTGTATGGGGATGCTCCTCAAATTAGTCATATGCATGTCATTATATGGAAAAGAAACCTGACAAAAAATCTTTCCTGTGTTGTTCCTCATTAAAGCCTTAATGAGAGATTTCCCTTCCTCATGTTTCTGTTGACAGTATAGTCATTACCATTGCTCATCTGGAGAGCACGTGACATCAAAAACTTTGTAATATATACAACACATCTCCCCCATAAGCAACTGGGTTGGCTGAATGCAAATGGTGGCCTGGAAAAGCATCTCAGTGGCTCTTGGCTTAGAAGGTGCTGGAGGTCATTTTGTGATGGAGGTCAGCAGCTGTACTGAACCCCAGAATCTGCACAGGAGCCAAAAGGATGGTTCTCAAATATATATGGGGGATTCTGGGGGGATAGGGTCACAGACCAACCAGCTAAAGAGGTCTGGAAAAACAGGTGAGCAAACATTAAGGTATATACACTTAGAATATACATAACAGACAATAATAATGACTTACTGATAAAACCCTTCAGGGACAGATAGCAGGATAACAAATATGGAACATTAACAATGTGATGCAATACAATGAAGAAACTTTAAGCCCTCCCTTAACTCCAGGGGGACTCTCAAACTAGTCTTTAGCCTCACAAAACACTCAGTCACTGTGTCCCCATCTCCCTCTCTGAAGCCTGCTGCTGTGGCTTGCAGAGTCAGCCCAGCTGCAACTCCTAGGTCTCAGCCTGCATCTTGCAAGCTGCTGCTTCTCTCTCTCTCTCTGCCAGCCTGTTTCTTCACGCACAATCCCGGCTTCCTCTCTGTTTCCTTCCTCTCTCCCCAGCAGCCTGCTGGGAACGGTAGCTCCTGCCATGCTGTTACAGTCTATTACATAGCAATAGGAGATTCCCATGCTTCCCTGAGTTATGGCAAAGGAGCATATTCCTCCCATAGTATTTTCCTCTACGTGCTTTAGTTCTTTTCTGTGCCTCCATTTTTGCATGTTTGCCATGTTTTTGGTCCCTTTCCACATTCCTTCCACCATGGGTCCTAAAAGGTGCTCTAATGTGACTGAGTCCTTCCAAGTGCATCTACATGTGAAATTAAGGCAAAGCAAAAAACTTCAGTGCAGTTTGTGCCAGAGTCAGCTGCTTTTGGGTGCAGAGTCTACATATGCACCTGGGACAGCAGCACTTTTTGCTGGGGCAGAGCAGCCTTGGGCTTTGGGTGGTGGCTTCAGGAAGTGGAGGGGCTGGCCAGGGCATGAGGATGCTAAAGTGCAGAGCTAGGTAGCAGGCAGCCCCTGTACTTTAGCACCTTTGTACTCCAGCCAGCCCCTGCCACAATCTACACATGTGTTTGATCGTATGTAATTACCCTGCCATAAGATAGTACTGCCCCTGACATTATTATCTTACAACAGAGTTAATTAATTTACTGTGCTCTAATTCTGGCACGTGTGTAAACTGTGACTCTACTGCAGGGCTAATTAGTCTAATCTGCAATAACTGCAAAATGTATGTATAGATGCACCCTCCTTGTCACAAACTGCATTATACTTGTATGTCAGCACAACCTGAGCAATGGGAAACAGCAGCACTGGGTAGCCGTGGAGGAAGAATAAGCAGAGGACAAATAGCAGATAGGGCCGAGTGAAACAGCACCATTTCGTTTCGACTTCCATTTCGCCGTTTCGCCAGGACACTGGTCTGTGTCATTTCATTGAAACTGTTTTGCTATTTCCATGTTTTGCCCGTAGGCTATAATAGGGAAGCACAAAACTGCCTATAACTTTGTCATTTTTTGGCAGATTTGGATGAAAACAGCAGAGATGGTAGATCCTTCTAAGGGCATGAAGTCTGCCAAGTTTCAAGGAGGTAGGTACAAGAATTTCTGGGAAACTGCACCTCAAGCTTCTGACAAGCAAAACTTGTGATATGGGTGATGCTGTGAGTGTGTGTTATTTCAAGGAGGGATGAAAACTGCAGGTATGGTAGCCCCTACAGAGGCCATGAAGCCTACCAGGTTTCAAGGAGATAGGTGCAGGGGTTTCTGGGAAACTGCACCTCAAGCTTCTGACAAGCAAAACTTGTGATATGGGTGATGCTGTGAGTGTGTGTTAAGGCACGCCCTCAGTGACCCTGGGGCCTCTACATGACGTGGCAGTGTGCCCCAATGAGGTCTCCTCCTCCCCTACAGCCTCATCCTGGTCCACCACTTTAAATGACAACAGGTAATAACATAGTAAGCAGCACAGCAGCATCTCAGGCAGCCAAACAGTCACAGTCAATATCAGAGCAGTCCTTCCCCCCTCATCCCGCTCCCTCTCCTTACTTTCTGTTTCCCTGCAGACAAGCCCAGCTTCAGCTTCAAAACTCAAAACGTTTCGAAACTTCCAAAATGTTTTGGCTGCCCTCGTTTTGTTTTGTGGCTGTTTTGAAGCCCATTGTTTCATTTTGATTTTGCTGTTTCAAGCTCAAAACGAATTGAAACAGTGTTGAAATGGAACAGCTGGTGAAATTTCGCACAGCCCTAGTGGATATTGCAACAAAGAGTTAGGAGGTGCTGGCTTATGGAGGCATCAAAAGTTGCAGAGTACTGTTGAGTGTCAGCTGGGCACAAGAGACTAACGTGTGCTGGTAAGAATGAGTTTTCCTAGGCTACACAAGCTGCAAAACTTTCACAGGTGCAAGCTTACTATGCTTGATCAGTGGGATGAGCTTGCATCTGTGCTGCAGTGGTTTGACATAAGAATGAGAGTAGTTCTGCCTTTTGAGAAGTTGGTGAGAATTGCACTGTAGAAATTGGTGACCTCAGAATATTACCAGTCAGTTAAGAACTTCCTGTGGAGAGCTGCCTCAGTCAGTGCTTTTCAACCTTTTTAGACTCAAGGCACCCCTGGATAATATTGTGGGTAACTTGAAATCTTTTCAGTGGTGCCATGGGGTACTACACAATGTTGGCACTGTTAGTGTGCAAGCATGTTTCATATGATAAACCAGAGATTTCAGATAGGAATCCACAGTGTTACAAACATTTTGCCCTATTGTAGACTTTCTGAGTTCTTTGTAACAGAAGAATTGCTCTAATATATTTCTGTAGTAAAAAATACAAGTGAAAACTAAGAGCTGGCATTTTCCAAGGGATGCCTCAAGTCTAAAAACAGGTTGAGAACCACTACATGAAGGGTTTAGTGACCTCTAGACCAGTCTACCCTACCGAACACAGAAGGGATTGAGGGATATCCTAAGATGGGGTAGTTTAATGCCATCTAAACATAATGAACACCAGAACTGAAAATATATATATATTATTAAAGGTAATGACAAACTGCATATTGTTGCTTACTGCAAGAGAGATCAGAAAGCAAACAACCAAGGAAACACCATGTACCTCTAAAGGACAATACTCATAAGAACAACAAGAGAATGTAGATCTAAGATCAGTGATTAACATCTCCTACTATATCAATTTGCTCTTGCAGACCCACACCCACCCATCCTTGAGTGGGATGCCAGATGATCAGAGAACTAGTGTGCACTCCTATTGGAGAGTATATGCATTGTAGGGTGCCCCATACAGGATGTTCTCCAGGACCTGAAGAGAAGGAAGGGTCTTGGAGCAGCGCACACAGTCTGATGAACAGCCAGATTCTGCAGCATTTGTCTGTTCCCTGAGGACTAGCATCATGTCAACTTGCACTTGCTTGTTGGCCTTCTGCTTGCTAGTCTTCCATTGCTCTGGTGGTGGTGCTTCTCCCCCTGGTGCATTTCTTTCCACTGGAGAAGCAAGTCTTTCCTTCCACTGGTGCACCTGTCTTCTGGTACCATTTATCATCTTTATTAAATATCCTCCATTGATTAAAATCAGATAGTCCTATCTGATAGTCTTGATTAAATGTCTTCCATTGTTCTTTGAATCACTGTCAGCTGAGTGGCTATCAATGGAGTCCTACTTGCAGCCAAGGACATGGATAATGAAGAAAGAGAGTATGTCAGATTTACAACATTAGCCTATAAAGGAAACAAGAAAATGATGAAAACACTTCAATTTTTAATTTGTAACCGTGCTATAGGCACAATGCACCTGCCATTCAGCTGGCAAGTCTTGGTTGCTGTCCCAACTACTGCCATGATAAGTTTCTCTTGCTGGTGGCCACAGAGTTGCTTGTGGTTTCTTGGGCTCCAAAAGGTGCGTGAGTAGGGGAAGACACCCACAGTGCTAAGCAAACAATTACAAATGCTTGGCAAGTCACTGTTCTGGCTAAAGTCTTGTTGGTGATGGTTACCAAGGCTGGGTGAAGAGAAGAGACTGCAGGCATGTGTTTGGGCCATTTTTCTGCCTGTCTGCTTCCAGCAATAGTCCCAGCAGAACCAATGGTGTTCTAAAGGGTGCTTTGTTATGGAGGGAGATATAAGGAGGACTTGCCAGAATATGTCAGAGCACTTTTTGGAAGTTGTCCCCCAAGAAAGAGTCGGATTTCCATTTTGAAATGAACAAGATTCTCTTGTGGGCTAGACATAGTATAGCTGTTTGGAGAGCATGAGCCCCAACCTATGGAGACTGTGAAATCATCACTGTTTCCCCAGCAGAACCCTATGCTGCCAACTAAGCAAGGTACATTTCAATAACCTCAGCTAACTTCAGCACTCTGGAAGCTTGTGTCCACACTGGGAGTGTCTACACATGTATTTACATGCACCTAAACTTAATGCGCCTTTGCTTAAGGCACATTAAAGTGATTTAGGCACGTGTCTACACGTAGATGCTCTAATGTGCATTAAGGTGCATTAACTTTGAGGCATGATTAGCTAAGTCACATTAGCCCATATGCAGATGCATTAATGTGCATTAAGCATCTACATGTGGGCTAATGTGACTTAGCTCATTGTGTCTAAATTTGCTACTTTCTTGAGGAGTACTAGCCTAAAATTGCCATTTTTAAGGAGCATTAAGGGTGTGTACATGTGGATACATGTCCTTAATGTGACTTAAAAATGGTGATTTTAGGCTAATCCTGCTTAAGGGGTACATGTAGGCACACTCACCATGTTTATAATCAGGCTTCTCTGACAAGAGCCACCCTATTTCAACCAGTGATGTTCCTATTCACACTCAAACCCACAAAGTTCTCATGACAATGATTAGTGGTTTTCAAGACTTAATAGCTACCTCTAAATATGGTAAGAATAGGCGGTTGTTTCCAGGAATTACTTTTTTTTTTTTCTTTCCTTTCTCACTCCTTTGTCTATACCCTTTATGTGTCTGAGCAGCCAGTGGGCCGGAGATTTCAGATAGGAATCCACAGTGTTACAAACATTTTGCCCTATTGTAGACTTTCTGAGTTCTTTGTAACAGAAGAATTGCTCTAATATATTTCTGTAGTAAAAAATACAAGTGAAAACTAAGAGCTGGCATTTTCCAAGGGATGCCTCAAGTCTAAAAACAGGTTGAGAACCACTACATGAAGGGTTTAGTGACCTCTAGACCAGTCTACCCTACCGAACACAGAAGGGATTGAGGGATATCCTAAGATGGGGTAGTTTAATGCCATCTAAACATAATGAACACCAGAACTGAAAATATATATATATTATTAAAGGTAATGACAAACTGCATATTGTTGCTTACTGCAAGAGAGATCAGAAAGCAAACAACCAAGGAAACACCATGTACCTCTAAAGGACAATACTCATAAGAACAACAAGAGAATGTAGATCTAAGATCAGTGATTAACATCTCCTACTATATCAATTTGCTCTTGCAGACCCACACCCACCCATCCTTGAGTGGGATGCCAGATGATCAGAGAACTAGTGTGCACTCCTATTGGAGAGTATATGCATTGTAGGGTGCCCCATACAGGATGTTCTCCAGGACCTGAAGAGAAGGAAGGGTCTTGGAGCAGCGCACACAGTCTGATGAACAGCCAGATTCTGCAGCATTTGTCTGTTCCCTGAGGACTAGCATCATGTCAACTTGCACTTGCTTGTTGGCCTTCTGCTTGCTAGTCTTCCATTGCTCTGGTGGTGGTGCTTCTCCCCCTGGTGCATTTCTTTCCACTGGAGAAGCAAGTCTTTCCTTCCACTGGTGCACCTGTCTTCTGGTACCATTTATCATCTTTATTAAATATCCTCCATTGATTAAAATCAGATAGTCCTATCTGATAGTCTTGATTAAATGTCTTCCATTGTTCTTTGAATCACTGTCAGCTGAGTGGCTATCAATGGAGTCCTACTTGCAGCCAAGGACATGGATAATGAAGAAAGAGAGTATGTCAGATTTACAACATTAGCCTATAAAGGAAACAAGAAAATGATGAAAACACTTCAATTTTTAATTTGTAACCGTGCTATAGGCACAATGCACCTGCCATTCAGCTGGCAAGTCTTGGTTGCTGTCCCAACTACTGCCATGATAAGTTTCTCTTGCTGGTGGCCACAGAGTTGCTTGTGGTTTCTTGGGCTCCAAAAGGTGCGTGAGTAGGGGAAGACACCCACAGTGCTAAGCAAACAATTACAAATGCTTGGCAAGTCACTGTTCTGGCTAAAGTCTTGTTGGTGATGGTTACCAAGGCTGGGTGAAGAGAAGAGACTGCAGGCATGTGTTTGGGCCATTTTTCTGCCTGTCTGCTTCCAGCAATAGTCCCAGCAGAACCAATGGTGTTCTAAAGGGTGCTTTGTTATGGAGGGAGATATAAGGAGGACTTGCCAGAATATGTCAGAGCACTTTTTGGAAGTTGTCCCCCAAGAAAGAGTCGGATTTCCATTTTGAAATGAACAAGATTCTCTTGTGGGCTAGACATAGTATAGCTGTTTGGAGAGCATGAGCCCCAACCTATGGAGACTGTGAA